ATATATATATATATATATATATATATATATATACACACACATACATACATGATGATGATGGCAGATGAGATTCTGCCGAAACATTGCTAAGAGTTTGAAAGCACAACTACAATGACGTGGGAAAATACCCGAACAAAGCTGAATGCCATACATGTAAGTACCCACGAAAACTTAAGAAAACATATATGTGTGTGTGTGTGTGTGTGTGTGTGTATGTAGGTCTAGGTGTGTTCAGGTCTTTTCCCGTGTAAGATTAAGAGTATCTTGGCGACGTTTCGGTGAGGTCCCACTTGCCATCCTCAGGCTGGTGCTTTTGGCTTCGTGACAGTGCAAGCAGTGTGTGATCGGAGCTGCCGTCTCTCTATATATATTGGTGGGGGGGGCTGGTGTGCTGGGCTGGTTGGCTGCACTGCTGCCTCTTGATTGGTTGATGGAGTTGATGTTGGTATAATGGGCTGTGTGATGGCCTTGTGAGTTTTGTTGTGGAGATGTCCTGGATCTTGTGCTGTAATCTCCTGGGTCGTTTGTTTTGTAGTGATCTTTTTTCCATTAGCCTCTCGTGTTTTAACAGCTTGACTAATGGGTTGTGTGATGGGCTTGCAAGTTCTTTTGTTGTGGTATCCTGGGTCCTGCGTTGTGATCTCCTGGGTCGTTTGTGTTTTGATCTCTTTTCCATTAGCCTCCTGAGTAGTAACGGCTTGGGTAATGGGTTGTGTGATGACCTTGTGAGACTTATTGCTGTGGTATCCTTGGTCTTGTGCTGTGATATCCTGGTCATTTTCTGTGTTGCAACTTCTTGAGTTCTTGTGGTGTAATTTCCTGAGTTTTCTGATGTGATATCCTGAGCAGGAGGTTGTGATGTAGCATTCTGGGTTTTAGTCTGGCTTCGAGTTTGGGGTCTGGGTCTGTGTTCTTGGTGTGTGTCAGCTTGTTTGGTTTTTGGATCAGGGGGTGTGACAGCTGGCGAAGTAGCTGTGGTCTGTTTTCTGATGGTGGTTGTCCTTCGTTTATAGGATGGGCTTGGGCCTGGGTCTGATGAAGGGGATTGGCGGTGGTATCCCACTTTGTTTTGGGTCCGGTGTTGGTTTTCGCGGCTGGGACTCATATGTTGGTGAGGGCTAGCTTCCAGATGTCTAGTAGGCAGGAGGTATCATCCCGTCTATTCATGTTATGGGGGTGTTTCTCTATCTTGATGGCTTCCTTGATTATTCTCTTGCTGGAGTGTTCAGTGTTGGATATTAATTTGGTTCCTTCGAAATTAATTTCATGTCCTGTGGCTTTAAGGTGCTGGAAGAGGGAGGAAGTATTTTCTTCTCTTCTGACTGCGTTTTTGTGTTCTGTAATGCGTGCATTTATTCTCCTGTTGGTTTGTCCAATGTATGTGGCTGGGCAATTGTTGCATGGTATTTCATAAACTCCTTGGTTTTCTAGCTGGATCTTGTCTTTGGGGTTTCTTAAGATGTTGGCTATTTTTTTATCACTGCCGAAGGCTGTCCTGATATTGTGTTTGTGGAGAATTTTGCTGATTTTGTCTGTGGTGCCTTTGATGTAGGGGAGGAGTGCGATACCGTTGTCTTGTTCTGTGTCTTGGTGTTTGGGGGATATCTCTTTTTGGATTAGATTGGTGATAGTGTTTCTTTGGAATCCGTTGGAAATTAATACGTTAGTGAGGGTATGTAGTTCTGTTCTCAGGTGGTGTTTGTCAGCTAGGCGTTTGGTTCTGGAGATGAGGGTCTTGGCTATGGAGTTGATCTTTGCAGGGTGGTGATGGGATTATGCATTTAGGTAGCGGTTGGTGTGTGTTTTTTTCTGGTAGATGGTGTGTCCTAGGGAGCCATTGGGTTCTTTGTAAATTAGGACGTCCAGGAAGGGAAGTTGGTTGTTGGTTTCTGTTTCCATGGTGAAGTTGTCAATTGGGCTATAGGTTGTTAAGGTGTGTGAGGAAGTTGTCCAGTTTTTCTTTCCCATGTGGCCAAATTACGAAAGTGTCATTTACATATCTGAGCCAGAGTTTGGGCTTATGTTCGGCTGCTTTGCCAGCTGTCGCACCCCCCGACCTCATATGCCATATATGCCTGATGATGGCAGATAAGATTCTGCCGAAACATTGCTACAACTTTAAAAGCACAACTATAATGATGTGGGAAAATACCTGAACAAAGCTGAATACCATACATTTAAGTACCCGCGAAAACTTAAGAAAACAAATATATATATAAACAAATATATAAAAATATCCCTATTTTTCATTTTTCCCCATCCTTACAGTCATTTTCCCAATTGCCATGTCTGTATTCATCCCTTCAGTACACATTTCTCTTAATGTATACATTTTTTGTGTAAAATTCATTTTTTTAATATATTTTGTGATTTCCTTCAATATAAATCCATTTTTGGGTGCTCATTTTCTGTAATGGATGCATTCTTCTGTGCAAATTTTGCATGGAAAATGGTATTCCAAAAATAGGAATAGGGCAAGTATAAATCTCTTACTGTTTTCTGATTAAATATATATTGGGGATTATGTATTTATATGACAGGATATTATTAATGATCTAAACAATTTTCTCCCCATTCCAGTTGTTTGTATCTTTATGTTGACTTATTTTCTTAAAAAATCCCATGTTCTACAAAGCAGAGTGGTGGAAAAACAGAGGCAAGGGTGCTTAATTCTTTCTTAATCTATTTTGTCACTAAGTACCATCCTGTAGTTGTTTCCTTGAAATAATACCTTTTGCCCTGGAGGGAAAAAAGAACAACATATATAGCGATTTTAAGCAGAAAAATTGCTGGAGGCAAAAGTATTATGTGTATTGCAGGATTGCTAGTGGAAAGGAAAAATTATAAATTCAGTAAATAAAGGAAATTCTTTTGGGTTGGAAAATTACTTGGCTCATCCATTTAGCTCAAAGTCATCTGAGGTTGTTTTTCATAACCAAAACAAAAACAAATCAGCAGAATAATATGCATGTTTTTAATATCTGATCTTGTCTCTTGATTAATTATCATTATAGTTTTAGGCTTATTTCAATATTATATGCAGATTTTAAACTATCTTATGTTTTAGGGAGTTTTCACCACATGTCTTTGGCTGCATATTTGTTATCTTAAGAAATTATCTTAGGTAATTTGAATTTGGTGGAATGGTTAGAAACTAGTACTGCAGGCTAACTCTGTCCACAGTCTGGAGTTCGATCCCAACCAGCTCAAGGTTGACTCAGCCTTTCATTCTTCTGAGGTTGATAAAATAAGTACCCAGACTGTTGAGGGCAAGATGCTGACTTTAAACTGCTTAGAGAGTGCTGTAAAGCACTACAAAGCAGTATATAAGTCTGAACACTATTGCTATTTGCTATTACTGATCAGTATGGCTGCCATGTTTGCTGGGAACTCTTGTGATTATAGTCCTTACACATCAGATGCAAACCCACTAAATAGGGGAATATTGATCTGCATCTAGATAACCTCATCCAAGTTCTCACTGTTATCAAGATGCACTGTTTCAGCCAGTGGTGGTATTCTAGCAGTTCGGCCCAGTTCTGCCGAGCCGGTAGTAGCAATGAGCAGCGGAGACCGAACCGGTTCTCCCTGTACTCTGCTGTTGGGCTCACCCACCCACCCGGGCTCCCATACTCACTTTTATCTGCTGAATTTGAAGCACAACTGCTTTGTGCGGCACAGAAGAGTGTTGTGCAGCAGTTGCTGAAGCGACCGGGATTGTGCAGGCTTGCAGAAGGTGAGTTAGAACCAGGGGTGGGATTCAAAATTTTTAACAACCGGTTCTGTGGGCATGACTTAGGTAGTGGGCATGGCTTGGTGGTCATGTGACTGGGTGGACATGGCTTGGTGATTATTGGTTGGGTGTGGCCTACTCAATATCACTCACATCAAGGCATGCATCTCCTCACCTGGCCTCTCATGACTGTGGGGATGCTGCAACAGTCGTAAGTGTGAAAAATGGTCATAAGTCACTTTCTTCACTGCCATTGTAACTTTGAATGGTCACTCCACACAAGCAAAGTACCAGCAAAGGACGTGAAAAAACCTCCAGAGACGTTCCTGAGATAGGAAGTCTAGTCCTGCCAAGAATGTAATAAGGGTTAACGGAGGGGTAGTTTCTGTAAGCAACAGCAGAATGTTTCCTTCCTGCCTTCCTTACAGGATTAGGCCAGTAATTTCTTCTAACAACAGGTTAGAACTGCTTAGAATATTAACAACCAGTTCTAGTGAATAGGTGAGAACTGGTAGAATCCCACCCCTGGTTAGAACGCCTCTGCGCCTGCGCAAAGTGCACATTTGGCACACTCGCACACACAAAGTGTGTGCACATGCACAAAGCACGTCCACCAAGCCACACCCACCGAATTGGTGGTAAAAGTATTTGAATCCCACCACTGGTTTCAGCCTTCAGGTAAGGATCAAATCACTGGATGCTACTGTGTTTAAAAGTGTTCTCTCCACTTGTGTATCAAGATGGTATATCAAGAGAACAAGCTGTACTCTAGCCTTCTCTTTGACACACTAATTTTCCTGTGCAGAAGAACATCCAAGTAGTGGATCCTCCACCTGCATTTAAAGCGGTACTACACAGACCCCAACCAAAGCTAGCCAGGAGCCCAGTCCTTTTGTATATGAATGTATGTGTTGCTTGGTGTCAGGAAGACAAACCAAATTTTGATGTTTCTGGATTTTTGTTTCTCTCCCACTCCCTCTTCTCTTGACAGTTTTTTATCATGCTGTTAATTATATTTGTGCTGGAGCTCACGGTGGTGATTCTCTTCTTCGTCTACACCGACAAGGTATGTCAAAAGAATTTTCTTTCACTGTCTTCTGTCCCTTTCAGCAAATGCCTCTCCCATCATCAGTAAGTCATGAAGCCTTTCCCTTGGCATGCAGGTCATGTTTTTCCAGACTCTACCACATCCCTGCCTTTCAGGAGTCATGTTCTCTGCATGCCTAAATATTTAATGCTCTCGGCTCCCTCTTCCTTTTCCCCCTCTTTCGAGCTTGCTTTCTTTTCAAGGTCAGGCACATTGACAGCACAGCCACTATTTAAATATGGAGCAGTTTAATGAGGAAAACCTGATGAAAGCTCATGCACTAAAAAGCAGATAATAATCACCACATTAAGAAGTTCATTTTGAGGAACAAATGTGCGGAAAGTCCCAAATTGGCCATAGTAAAACGTGTTTTCCATGGATTAGGGGGATGCATAATCTCAGCTAAGGAATTCTGAAATTACAGTCTTCAGAGGTGGCAAATCAGAAAAGATCTACATTAAGAAATACAGTATGAAGTTAATGAATTCGATGTGATAGGCACAAATAAAGCTTGACAATGTGTAAGTTACTTGCTAGTGCTGATAACACTTGCTAGCATTCAATAGAGAAGTCTGCTCCAGTGGCATTCCTGAGAAGAGAAATGCCACCATGTTCCTTAAACTTCTCCTACTTACAGAGCTAAAAACAACAGCGCTTTCCAAAACTGTCATGGTAAGTTTAATCACTATTTTCTTCCCTATATGTTTTCTTTTAAGCCATCTGCTCTTTCTGTTCACTTCCCTTTCCCACTCCAAGCATAGAAAGTAAAATCTCCCCCCTTGTTCCCTACCAGGTGACAGTACGTGCCAAAATCAGAGATTCAGTAACCACTTAATCCAAAGGGTTTTTTTTTTCAAGAGGTAACTGGACTTTCTGTTTTTTCTTTGAAGACGTTTCGCTTTTCATCCAAGAAGCTTCTTCAGCTCTGACATTCCTTACCATCCAGTCAGAGCTGAAGAAGCTTCTTGGATGAGAAATGAAACATCTTCAAAGGAAAACTAGAAAGTCCAGTTGCCTCCTGAAAAAGCACCTTTGGGATATAACCATGACCTGGATGACTGAGAATCTCCATAGACAGTAACTAAGTTTCATATCTCATAACAAGCTCCAAAGAGAAGCAGCTTACATTAAGAAACAAAAGGAAATAAGCTATCATCTATCTTTATCTTATGAGCAATAGGACAATAACATTTAAATTTCATGTATTGATTTTTATATTCCTCTTCTTTAAGCAGATTATTTTAGAAAATATTGATGATTCTGTCCTCCCCATTCGAAATTGATAATTTTGCTGCTGAAATTCAATGTCAGTTATGAAAAAGCCGGAATTGTTTGTTACAATACATTACCCTCATATCCACTAAGATAATGGGCAATAATGTTCCAAAAAATTAACTTTGTACCAACAGGAAATACTAAATCAACTTGTATGGAAGATAATTTATGTTGTCGGTAATTGTATTAACTTCATCTGTTATGAAGGCTTATGAATTAATTGCATGCCCTTAAGAAGAGAAGCTTATCCCAAAGGTGCTTTCCAAAAGTCAACTGGATTTTCTTTGTTGTTGTTTTCTCTTTGAAGACGTTTTCACTTCTCATCCAAGAAGCTTTTTCAGTTCTGACTGAATGATGGGGAGAAGGCTCCAAGGCCCTTTCAGTGGGTGCATGAAGTCAGATAAATATTTTAACGTTTCTCAGTTTTAATTTCTACTACATTACCTATTGATAGATATAACCCACATAAACTTTGACTTATTTGGGGCCCTCTGTCATTTTAAGAATGTAAAGGGGTTTCTGAAGTGAAAATGTTTGAGAACCACTGGTCTATAGGCAGGGGTGGGATTCAATTATTTTTAACAACTGTTTCTGTGGACATGGCCTAATTTGTGAGTGTGGCTTGGTGGTCATATGACTGGGTGGGCATGGCTTGCTGACTGGGCATAACTTGGTGGTCATGTGACTGGCTGGGTGTGGTTTGTATGTAAATATTTATGTAAATATTGATTTTTTTTATAAAAAAGAGCAACTTTTATCCAAAATCTGGCAAAGCAGGCAGGCAGGTTGAGTTGCTCACAGAATCACAGATTCAATCAGAGATCTACCTTTCTGCAATCTGCTGCCTGAGTCTGTTGCATAAAGTTTTCTAGCAAGCAAACTCACAAATTAACTCACAACACACCATGTATGTAAATACTGATATATTTTTTTTATAAAAAGGAGCAACTTTTACCCAAAATCAGGCAAAGCAGGCAGGCAGATTGAGTTGCTCACAGAATCACAGATTCACTCAGAGATCTATCTTTCTGAAATCTGCTACCTGAGTCTGCACTGAAAAATAGAAGCTTCAGTCCTAAGGAAGGTTCAGCTCTGCTAGAAAGGAATGAATCCAACCATTTCCTGCTTTCTAGATAATCTAAATCTCCGGGCATAGCTGATGGTTGTGGGGATGGGGGTGAGGAAAAACAGCAACTTACGAAAAATTAGGCTAAGGCACAACACAGGCAAGGTTGATGGCATGCATGCTAGGTAAGGAGTGAGTGGGCAGGGCCACCCATTGGCGTGATTTGCTGGTTCTCCGAACTGCACAGAATCATAACAACTGGTTCTATAGAACCTGTCCGACCAGGTAGAATCCCATCCCTGTCTATAGGATCTTTGATGGCATGAAACAACAGCCATTGCAATGTAGTTTGTTGCCCCATTAGTAGAAAGGAGACTAAGCAGAGGTGTTTAACAAGATCAGCCACACACTAAAAAATAATTTACAACTATTTTGTGATATAAAGTTGTTTAAATGTACTTAAGCCTTTTTTTCCTTAAATGAATTGATGGCAAATTTTTGTATTCTCCTTTTTGCATTCTCCAATAAAACTAAAACAAGCTCCTGAAGCTGCAGGAGTGGAACGCGGGGAAAAAAATCTTATCCTCTCACACCAATATTTTCTTTTTTTTAATTGGAGAACTTTTCTAAGTTATGTATTTGTTATTTTGAAAGTAAGAAATTGAGTTTTACCTTGAATCAAATCAATTTCCAGTTGTAGTTGCTGCTCTCACAGTGCTTGGCTCTTTTGTGTCACAGATAGTTTTCTTGTACAAGAAATCCATTAGGTGGAAGTACTAGGAATTAAGATGGGGCTTCCTGCATGCACCATCTGCATGCTACCTCTGATCTAATGATAAGAATAATTAATATTTCTCTAGGTCACTGCATTCAATTTGATTATTTTCCAGAGCTTTCCCTTATGATTATGGACAAAATAAATTTTCATCCTGCCTCAGAAAACAGCAGCCAACTTGAAACACTGAGGAAAATTGAGAATGTGATTTTCCATAATCCCCACAAACAAAGTTTATTTGGGCTTCATTTAGATGGCTCTAAGTTGAGAAAGGTTGTGCCATTATAGCTGCTTTCCACTGACTTCTCTAAATCTTCCATGTTCCTTATTTGTGAAACAGATTCCTACCCAATTCCTAGGAAGCTTCCCTCCTCTCCTCCATGGGTCAAGATTGTTTAACCATCCTTTGCCATCTCCAAGTTGCTCCCTAAATATTCAAATTGTGCTGCTGGTCGAATTATGTTTACTCTCATATATCCCTGCCCAATTCAACTGTTTTTTGGTATCCCCATTTCTATTTCTCTTCATCTTCTTAATTTTCTCCCGTCATTGCTGGCTTTGTTGAGGACTGAGTGAAGGTCTACTAGAAGAAGATATAGTTTCTGGAGGTCTACTGGATGTACTAATAGCCCTTGACTTATGACCATTTAATAACTGTTCAAAATTATGATGCTGAAAAAGGTGGGTTACAACCAGTCCTCACACTTATGACCATCATAACATCCCCAGGGTTACGTGCTTAAAATTTGGGCAACATGTAATGTATTTATGACAGCTGCAGTGTCCCAGAATCATATGCTCACCATTTGCAATATTCTCAGGAGGCTTCCAACAAGGAAAGTCAATGGGGGAAGCCAGATTTACTTAATGACTGTGGTGATTCATTTAATGACCACAGCAAACAAAGTTGTAAAATCAGGCACATCTCACTTATGAACCACATAAATTTAGTGATGGAGGTTTTGAACGCAATTGTGGTCAAAGACTACCTGAATAGCATAGCTGGTGTAGTCCTCTCAGACCACCCAGCATGGCAGATAGGGAAACTGGAATCTAGCCCAGCTCTATCTGGAGGGTGATAAATTCTCTGCCATGCTTTGAATGCATTGTTCTTCCTCAAAGAGGAACACACTCTATTTAAGATAACTACCTCAGACTTGCCTGAGGGCAAACACGAGCACTATATTTTCAGAGTAACAATGCTTTCAGAAATACATAATTTCAAATATTAACTCTCTAAATAACATACCAGTAATAACTTATTCTGCCCTTCCACTTTTAACATCTGTGTTTATATTTTCATTATGGAAGTTTTCCCAAAGGCAATAATAAAGCCCAGATTTACTTGCTTTTGAAACATTGTTTATCTTTCTCCAACAGATATGTTTATTCAGATTTTCCCCTTTCTTCATCTGATTTATAAAAGGAACTTGGGTGCTGCAAACTGGGGATCATAATTCTAGGATTTAAAACACACACACACAAAAAGGTCAAAAGTAATTGGAAAGTAGCTATATTGTGAGGAGTATACATATTATTGGGCCCAACTTGTGGCTTCAGAATTTAAAAAGTGAAAATAAGTTTAGTAGATTGGAAGTCCAGTAAAGAATTAGAACAGAATAAAATATTGTCTTGGCAAATCAGGATAATAAAAATAAATGGTAGAGAGGCAGCTGACAAGAAAGGATTGCAAGTTTGGCTCCTGCCACTCATCCCTGGCAGATGCCTCCTTCACTAGGCTTCTAGGCTTGCATTTAGATTTCATAGCAGCAGGTTTAGAAGTTGGATCAATAATCCACTGTTAATTACTAGCAATAAGAATTACAGAAAGAGGAAAAAATACAGAACTCCATAGAAGTCCAA